TTCTAGCTCATCACGGAGACCTCTAGCTTCCTCTTCTCTTTGCTCGCTGAGAAGTTTGAAGACATCCTTCTCCTCAGCCAGCCCCCGAATCTCGGCTTCATAACGGCTCAGTTCCCCCCGAAATTAGAGGAAAGCTTCATGATGAAGCACTGAAGCCTGCAAACATAGGAGGGAAAAGTTATACAAAGGGAGAAAAAACCTAAGTATGAAAATAGGCAGGAGAATCAGGAATTACCCGGTTTAGAGCCTGTTGGGCTTTATTGAAAACACAAGGCATTCCGACCTCATCCATCTAGGCTTGGTCCTCCTCTGTGACCAAACACTCGAGGTAGTTGGCCACCCCTACGGGGGCAATAAGAACCCAAACATCCTCCGGGACCGTGATCGCGATTGTCCGCTTGGACCTAGGAGCGGCATTTGGGGCCGGAGTTGGTCAATTTAATACTTGGGGAAGCCTCACCCAAGATTTTCTTCGGAACCTCCAAATCACTCAGGCCAGTAAAATCTTCTACCCTAGCAAAGAAACTACGAAATAGATCCTCCTCTTTGTGGGCTCTTTCCCTGTGACAAGTCTCTGCGTCCTGAGCATCACGTATCATGGAATCGGAGACTGGAGGAAACAAAGAAGAATCCCCGATCTCTATTACCCCAAGTGGGTCTTTTGAGGAACTGCCTCCATCTTGGGGAGTCTCGAGCTCAATTTCTATGCCCGGGATTCATCGCCTCTTCAACGGCCTCTTTGCCCCAAGGTAAAACATCTTCGGTCCCTTTTGGCTCGAGGACTTGGGCTAAAGTCTCCTCCTCGACCTCATTGAGCCTAGGCTAAGCAGTGTCGACTCCCACTAGCTCTGAAGTTTTTCGCGCCCCTGTGCTAGCTCGTGCACGGGCCACCAGTCCGGAATCATCTTCATTCTCTTCTTCTTGTTCACCCTCTTCGGGCTCATCCCGAAGCTTGAGGACTGAGTCTATTGTTAGAGGGATGACTCTTCCCCTACGGGTTCGCCTCTTTTTGGGCTTTTGTTCATCCAACTTCGTAGAGATCAGAGCCCCTCTCCTTTTCCGCTTTGTCTTTTGCTTCGGAGCAGACTGTTGGGGAAGGTTTTCTTCGTCACCAGATAGGGGCCTCATGGGCAAGTTCCACCTGAGACCTGCAAAAGAAGGACAAGTGAGATCGAGAAAAATTTCGGGCAGTGATCAAAGTTGTCGAGTTATACGAAAACTTACCGTGGTTTCAGGCCTCCCATCGACCTTTCACCAATTCGCGCCATGTGCTCAGCGTGTGTTGATTTCGACACTAAGCTTCTGACCCAGTTCTCGAGCTGGGGAATTGCACCCGGCATCCAGGTGATGGCTGCATCAAATAAAATGCCAATAAGAAAGGATGAAAAAGTGAAGGTAATAAGCAGAAGTTAAAAATGGAGTTATACTTATGTCTCATAATCCATTTCTCCAAAAATGGCAATTTCGGCCGGGATCAGGTCCGGGGTCTTCACTCGGACAAATTGGCCCATCCACCCCAATCCTTGTCCTTATTTATGCTCGAGAAAGCGGCTTTGGAGCTCGACATTGAAGCTTTATTAAGCCCCCTTGGTAAAGTAGTGGTTATATAAGCGTATGAGATGGTCGAGGGTGAAGGGAAGCTCGTAGACTTGGCTCACAAAAAAATGGAGCAGTATCACTATCCTCCAGAAGAAGGGGTGAATTTGTCAGAGGGTGACTTCATACTTCTTGCATAAATCCACGATGACCGGGTCGAAGGGACCCAATGTTAAAGGGTAAGTGTAAACACTTAGAAACCTTTCCACATGGGTAGTGATTGAATCCTCAGGCAAGGGCACCACCACGTGTTTGTCAACCAAGTTGCAGTCCTTTTTGACTTGGTCAAGGAGGTCACCGGTGATCGTGCATATATACCTCGGTATTGGCTCGCATCAGTCCAGAACCGAGGGGGTATTTTTAACCTTGAAGTCAGAGTTAAGGACGTACACTCCGGGAATGAATTCTTCAGGGCGTGGCTCTGTCGTTGGTTGCTCGTCGGCCGGCTGAGACGAAGAAGCTTTTTCTTTCTACGAAATGGTTTTAGATGTTTTGGCCATTTTGTTTTCGTGAACAAGGGAGAACAGAGATTGGGATATTTCATTTTTTGGGGAAAACGAACGAAGAAACTCAAAAGCTTGAAGGTAAAATGTTTTGTAGAAGGCAGAGAAATATGAAGATTGAAAGTAAAGTTTGGGCAAGAAAGGGAAGATACATTTATAGGTTGAAGACGACAGTTCAGAACCGATAGTGGCCGACAATAACTTCCAGGCATTTAATGCCTCGACATCTGAACCGACGGGATGTTTCGATCACCTATGCCGCTTACATCACGATGCTTACATCATAAAGAACCGAGGGTAAATTCGAAGATTCAATTCGCTTCTTGTCATTGCACTCCAAAAAATGAGGGGACTATCTGTATATAGTCAAAATCGGACTTGTCTAATTTTGTACGACTAACCGAAATCGGGACGTAAGATCAAGTCCCGGCCCCGGTTATATCAGAACATGGTACAAAGATGGATTGGTAAGCTCGTGAATCGATGGCAGATCAAGATCGAGGCCGGCCGTGATCGAGACCGAAGCGAGAAAGAAACTGAGCAAGATCGAAGGAAGTCTGCCACGTCAAATAGCAGAAAGCCGAGATATCCGTGATCGAGCTAGGATCGTGGCAGAAATCTCGGCATGTATCGAGTCAGGATCGGATATTCAGCCTATCACGGGTTTACTTCTGTAATTAGAATTATACCATAAATAGGATTCATCTACTATATAAAGAGGGTCTTAACTATTTTTTAAATAATATACATTCACGTATAACAAGGCAATATATTATATTTTCTCTTGCAAGCTTTGTTGTTCAAGTTCATATTTTTCAATAAGCATACTCAGTTGGTTCGAGGGCAGTCTAGTTTGAGGGCCATAATTGTTCATCACATTGGTTTGCTTTATTTTACTGTTAATTACTAGCATTAATTCTTATATTTATCATTTTGTATCAAGTGAAATTACATATCCTTAAATCACTTATAAGTTTAATTGTTATTCGATTTTAAGGGTAAACAAGGTGTTAATGCAAAACCTCGAAGATCCATTGGGTGTTAGTATTTATTTATGAAAATTTTACCTACTATAGAAAAGGTTGATACCTTATTTATTATAAATAAATACCCTATTAAAAAATTATCTCATATAGCTACCTTTTAATTTTTATAGCAAAATATCTATTTATGGCCACTTCCTACCTTTAAGCCATTAAATACGCTGTGTATTATTTTTCTCTCTCCCTCTCCCATCCCTCTCTCCTCCTTTCTCTTTCCTTTTTCTTCTCTTTTTCCCACGGTTTTTTCCTCCCCTGCTTTTAGAAACCCTAGCAGGGGTTGTGTTCCACCAACGACAGATCTGGTTGGTGACCACTTTCCCCCTTCCTTGTTGTGTCACCCCTAAACCCCCCTCCTCCGGCCGGCGATACCTTCTTCTTTTTCTGAAGTGATGATTACATTATAAAACCATTTGGTTTCCAAACGTGACGATCTAAAATAGTTGAAGTTGAAAAACTCTAAGATCCAACATCTTTCACGCCATTTTGAATGGAAAGTAGAAAAGTGATTTTTTTGCTTAACTACTCGTTATTCAAAATTCACGGTCCAACTAATTCAAATTCATTCTACGAGATTATAAGAAGATTTCGACAAGGTGAAGGAATGCGAAAATAAAACGACAAAAGAAAAAAAAAGTAGTTGCTTTGCCTTGAAGAGTCTATTACCTTTTTATTTATTGTATTTCAATGTATCTCGCTGTATTTCATATATTTTAATGTATTCACTGTCTTTTTTTTAATTGTATTTCAATATAGCTCGTTGTATTTCATTGTATTCACTATCTCGCTGTATTCCACGAATATATTCATATGCTTTTTTAATTAATATAATTTATGTATTCAGATGTATATATGTATTCATATGTTTTTGTATTATAGATGACCTGCTATACTCCATGTTTTCAATGTATTTTGATGTATTTAACTGTATTCAATGTAATTATATAATTTCAATATATAAATCTATTTGTAAAGATACCACTAAAAAATACTTTAGTAAAGATACCACTGAAAAACTAAAGGATGGATTTAATCTCTGAAGATTGCTCTGATTTTGGGCTGTTTTTCGTGTTGAGAATATTTTCTATAACTGGAAATACAAATTTTGCGTGTTATAATTGAATTTGTTGAGTTATATTAGGAGTATATCGCGTTAATTGATTCATTTACCGTTTTTAAATAGTTGAAGACCTTTTTTTGCAAATTCTGTTACTGCATTCACGAATACGGCTCGCGAATACAGTCGAATACATTCTCTGCTTAGCTGGACTCCCCTATTTTCCGCCGAGTTTTGCTACTGTATTCATGAATACAATAGCAAAAATACATTGAATACAGTCTATAACAACTAAAAACATAGTTATAGGAAGTAACTTAGTAAATGATAGTTATAGCAAGCTAATAATCACTAAAACATATTTGTTTCTGAAAATATCTCTTTATTTATTAGCCTACCTATATAGGGATAGTAAGGACCGAGACGCCTCTCCATTTTTTATTATCTTCGTTCTTTATCAACTTATTCTCATGATACCGTCCTATTTAAATGTCAAACGTTCACTTTTTATTTAAATAAACAGGTGTCTTAATCATAATTGAAAAGATAGATATTGCTATTTAAGTCTGTCCATCTCCATTTTTTCTAAGAAAACAGGAAGTGTATTTGTATTTTATGATGAAGTGATTTAGTAAACAGTGCTTATTTTTTCATCCTAAGAAAAATACACATAGTTGCATTTAACTACTTCTAACTGTACACTTAAACACTTAATTAAGTTACTCCACTAACTAACTACTAACTTGAGTTCTAACAGCTAACCACAGTTATAATGAGCTAACTAACTATAGTTACTCCAATATAGAGCCAAAAATGCTTGATAATTTTCTTTTCTTATGCCTAGACCCTGATAAACAAAGTTATCTAATATCAGAGTTGAATGTTGATGTGAAGTCACACACCCGGAAAAACTTAAAACAGTCGAAGACGTACCTGATTAAAAAAATAACAATAATAATATTGACCCTAAAAAACGCAGAACTAGAAGTCCTGAGTATAAAAATAAGTTCACTTTAAAACAGTACAAGGTGTCTAGCCCTCAATGTGATGATCCTGACTCATGCTTAAACGGGCAAGACTAACAACTGCAACAACTTCCCCAGATATCACCAGTCTGGAATTAAAACTTTTAGTACTATGCCATCTGCACAAGATCCAAGAGCCCTTTCACCTTGGCTTCCCTGGACGAACTTGATGAGAAGTTGTTAAAATCACCTGTCGGCATCTGAAGAATATTTATCCGTTCAGTCCAGAAATGTGATAAGCATTCCATAGTCAAAGTCAGAACATTCGCCTCAAAAGTCAAGAATGCTAATACTGGATTCACATCCCAGCTGTATTTTACTCCAATGAGTCCAGACTTATCCTCCCTTTCAAGTTGTAATCTTTCTTCGATTAGCCAATTTCAAGTTGACATGGAAGGATAAGATCGAACATGGATTTCAAGGCGATAGGACAACTGGAGAGCTTTTATGTTCGATTTCCACAGAGCTCCTGAAATCGCATCAAACTGCAATGAAGAGCATAAGTTAAATTCTGATCATTAACAGTTCTCCCCGTCCTTCCTTCCCTGAAGAAGGCTTACCCTGTGCACGAAGTACCGCCAGGCTAGTGCCAGGGTAAGAGGAGAATGGGCTTAAACCGTACACAGCCTTTTCCTTGCATTTATGCATAAAGGCTGTTGCCACACCTACCCCTTGGTCACCAAGGGAGCAACTTCGCTGTTGCACCAATGCTTTCCCTCACCCCCTCAAATAAATAAATAAAAGTATCTTTTCAATAATTAACAAGCAATACATGAACAATGAATTCTTAAACTATCAAGATCTTTACATCAATAGCAAAAATGTGTTCAGTTTTGGAAATGCATGAATAAAAAACAGCTGACGAACACGAACATGATGAATGAGCTAGTAATCCTTGAAAAATTGGCTTGAATGCTAAAAGGATGACAATGCAACTTGCTACTTCAATTTTTAAAAATATCCTCATCAATATTTTGATACTTATTCCTAAAATGCACAAAATCAAAAGGCAATGTAGATCATGAAAGAACCCATCCCCCCC